TTCTGAGGAGTGGTTGGTGGGTTTGAACTGCCAGCCTCTGGTTAGCAGTCATAGTACCTTAGGCACTACACTACCAGAGCTACCAAGAGTCACTAAGTACAGCCTGTATTCAAGAGGAGGTGAATTAGGCTCCACCATATGAAGGAATGTGTAGTTTAAAAGCACCACAGTTAGTGACTCTCTTATCCCCTATGTTGTCACTAAATCTTTGACAACTGCACTTCAGTGGCCAAAAAATGACTGGGCTTCCGTGCTACCCAAAGCAATCAGTTATGTCCAAGGTTCAGTACCAGATACATGTGTGATTCCTTGTGTCCTCAGGAGACACCAAATGCCAAAACCTAGAAGTGGCTCTGGTGTCCAAGTTTCCAGGTGAGAACTCTACCAGGAATAATGTTGGGAGTTCAGAGTTCACAAGTGATCCTTACCCACAGCTACCATAGTGTTTTCCTAAATTGTGAAACCATTAGAGACTAAGCACACACAAAACGATTCCAGAAAACAAAAGGCTTATTTGGTGCAAGGATTGGATTACCACACCTAAGTTTTATCTTTTACCCATGTAACAAACTCAAAAACTTAGTGGCTTAGTGGTACGATTTGGGCAGAGCTTGGTGGGCATAGTTCATCCTCACTATGGTATGGCTGGGGAGCTCTGGTAGCATAGTGCCTAAGGCACTTGATTGCTAACCAGAAGGCTGGCGGTTCAAACCTGCCAGCCACTCCTCGGAAGGAAGATGGGGCAATCTACTTCCGTAGTGATACTGCCTCGGAAACCCAAGAAGGGGTTGCTTTGAGTTGGGTTCGACTCGACGGCACATAACAACAACAACAACAACATGGTATGGCTGGTGTTACTTGTGGCTACGTCCAGCTGACAGGTCTACTGGAATAGAATGCTATGCATGTCTTCCCTTACATGTCTGACGTTTCAGCTAGAATGGCTGGAATAGCTGCAAACTGGACATTACTCTCTCAATATAGTCTCTCTAGCAAAGGATAGCTGCTGCTGTTAATGTGCTGTCGAGTCAGCCCTGACTCATAGCGACCCCTCCTTGGGTTTCCGAGGCAGTATCACTACAGAAGTAGGATTGCCCAACCTTACTTCCGAGGAGTGGATAGCTAGACTATCCTTTATATGAGGTGGCACAGGACTCCAAGAGAAAGCAGAAGCTGCCAGACTTCCATGACTCATGCCTGGACTAGCACAGTGTTACTTTTGTCATATTCTATTGGTCAAAGCAAGTAACAAGCCCAGCCCAGATTTTAAGGGGAGAGGAAATGACTACTTTTTCCTTCAAAAAAGGAAATTTTATTTCCTCACAGTTTAGGAGGTTGGAAGTTTGAATTCAAGACATCAGCTCTAGGGAAAGACTCTGTCTCCATCATGGATAGCTGTGGTGGTCCTCAGTTCCTGAAGGTCCTCACATGGCTTCTATCTTTTCTCCCCATATGTGCCTGCTTGACTGCTCTTTATATCACTCAGAAGTGATTGGGGTTAGGACACACCCTATACTGATATGACCTCATTAACAGAATTCAAATAGGACTACATCCACAGGAGTGACTCCAACATATTTTTAGAAGGGTAACTGCATTTCTTAATACCAAAAAAAAAAAACCAAGCCCAAACTCATTGTCATCAAGTGGATTCTGACTCATAGCGACCTGAGGTGATAAATCTTTATGGAACTAGTAGATTGCCTAGGCTTCCTTCTGTGGAGTGGCTGGTGGGTTTGAACGGCCAACCTTCAGGTTAGCAGCCAAATGCCTTAATGTATTTAATAGAAGGTGCCAAAAAAAAAAAAAATTAAAAAAGCAACTGCCTTCAGCCACCACAGTAAAGAAGAAAGCCCCACTGCTTTGATTGTCTAGTAAAGACTCTAAATCATTTAGATAGCTGGAGGATTTTGTTGTCAGAAAAGAGAAGTTCCTGTTTGGCACCAACTCTAAGTTAATGATCTGTGTATGAATCTCTGTAGTTATTTGCTGCTTTGTCCTTGCTTTCTCTCCCAAACTCCCTTTCATGAAAGGTGTGTAAGACAGTAAGCAGCTGATGGTGTAGTGCCTAGAGCATTTGACTGCTAACCAGAAGGCAGACCATTCAAATTCACTACTTCTGTAGTGATACCTCCTGGGAAACCCAAGGGAGGGGTCACTATGAGTGGGATCCAGCTCAAGGGCAGTGAGTTTTTTTACCCTGAAGCTCACTAGCTGTTGCCGAACCCAGTCACTCAGTACCTTGTCTCCAATCAGGCCAACCAATTACTGTCTTCCATGTTTTTGCTTGGGATGCTCCTCCTGCCTCAGTCTTGTCCCTTCGGCTTGCCCTACCTCATATCTACTAAAGTTCATGTGTACATCCTTTTGAAATAGTATTTGATCAAGAATTTAAAGTGAATTGATCATGTAGATTTTTATTGTAATGACTGTAAAGAGCCATTTGCCTCCAGAAATTTATCCTTAATTAATCTGTTTCCTTTGGTGACTTTGGATTTTTCTGAGTCGACAATGTTACATAAAATGGAAAGAGCACAGACTCAGACCTCAGAACAAATCCTAGCTCTAGAACTCATAAGCACTATGACTGTAGCCAAGACATTTAACTGTTGCAAACCTTGGTTTCTCTTATTAAATGGGAAACAATGTACAAAAAAGTCATTGCTCTCAAGTTGATTCTGACAAGTAGCAACTCTATAGGACAGAGTAGAACTGCCCCCATAGGGTTTACAAGACTCTAATCTTTACCAAGGAGACTGCCTCATCTTTCTCCTGCAGAAAGGCTGGTGGCTTAGAACTGCTGATATTTCCGTTAGCAGCTGAGTGCTTAACCACCGCGACACCAGGGCTCCTTAAATGGAAGACAATAGTACCTACTTTACAGGAATTGTAAGGATTCAATGAGAAAGTTTGTGTAAATTAGTATTTAGGAGGAGTGATCAATAAATATTGCCTAAGACACAACAGGAAGACTCCAATGCAGTAAAGGAGGGTGAATCCAAAAAGTTTGTGCCAGGTTCCAGGCTAGTGGTAGTAAAGGGATAAAAAACAAATGTTACCTCTATCTTTAATGATAATAATATGCTAATATGGATTATTTGATTTTAAAATTTTCTAGTAACGTCATATCAGTTAATAAAAGCACTTTATTATTCATAACATTTCAGTTTACGAACTCCTGTGAGTTGGCAAGGATAGTTACTTTTATAGCTGTAACTTCTGGTAACACCACTATATCATATAGTAAAGAGCAAATATACAATTTCACTCATAGACCCAGTGCTCTAAAACATCTATTTTTCCTTCTTTTCCATAGGATAGCTTATTTTCAGAAGAATACACTATATACATCTTCCAATGCCACATGTTGCTGCTGTTATTTGCTCTCAAGTCGGACCGACTCATAGCGAACCCTCCTTAGGTTTCTGAGGCAGTATCACTATGGAAGTAGATTGTCCAACCTTCCTTCCGAGGAGTGGCTGGTGGGTTTGAACCGCCAGCCTTCTGGTTAGCAGTCAAGTGCCTTAGGCACTACGCTACTAGAGCTCCTCATGCCACATAGGAACTGGAATTATTTTTGTTTTAGAGAAGACAAAACAGGTTCAGAAATGTCAAAAGCCTATAGCAGATGAAGCCAGGGAAGGAATTTAACCATTTAGGGCTTATCCTCACAAGCTGATGATTAGAACTCATGTAACAGATGTTGTTGTTGTTGTTGTGTGCCGTCGAGTCGGCCCCGACTCATAGCGACCCCTCCTTGGGTTTCCGAGGCAGTATCACTACGGAAGTAGGATTGCCCAACCTTCCTTCCGAGGAGTGGCTGGTGGGTTTGAACCGCCAGCCTTCTGGTTAGCAGTCAAGTGCTTTAGCCAGGTAAACCAATTTTTAAAGAGAATAAAGTAGGAATGATTAGGAATGATGCAAAGCTTGCTCAAACTCCTAAATGAAGCCTAATATCCAGTCATTCCACTGCCTTTGTTGTGGGCTTTGGACCTTTCCTTTTGCTCACAGCTTTCCCTTTAGCCTTTCCTCTTTTCCTGTCTTGGCTTTAATCACCCACTTCCCTGCCCACCTCTTTTCTTTTTCAAGGCAATCAATACTGTTCACTTTACTGCTTAGGGGTTGGGTCAGGCTTTCTCATTTTAAATCCTCCTCACGTCGTGGTATTATTTATTCGACGAATATTTATTGAGCGCCGACCATATACCAAACATTGTGCCTTGAACACAATGGACAGCATACATTAATCACGAATCACACAAATCACTTTTACCCAGGTTGGCCTCTTCTGGGAATCTTAGTTTTTAAGTAAATGCCACAATACTCAGTCCTTTAGCACACGTTTGAATCTCAACCACCTACACTGCGTGCCTGAGCTGCTCAGAGGCTCCTATTCCGGGGCCCAGACCAACGCAACCTCAACTCCACATTTCCAGGAGGAGAATAAAGTTCAGAAATGTTACTTCCATGGGGCTCCCCAGAACTAACTGCAACCCACTCAGTATAAACGTTGTGACATACCTATAGGTAAAACCAAAGAACCCAAACTCACTGCCATTGAGTCGATTCTGACTCCCTTTGGGTTTCTGAGGCGGTAAATCTTTTCGTAAGTAAATCGCCCAGTCTTCCTTCCGCGGAGTGGCTGGTGGGTTTGAACCACCAACCTGGTTAGAAGTCAAATGCCTTAGGTACTATGCCACCAGAGTTCCTTATCTATAGGCAAGGGCATGTCAAAATTCGGGGAAAGCATCCTATGTCTACCTTCCCAACAATACATTCCATTTTTTCTTAAAGGCCAAGATTTTTTTTTTTTTAAAGATAGTAGGTTGGAAAAAAGCAGTTGTTATGGCAACCAAACGGGTCAGGGGAAATACAGCCAATCAGAGTGTGCCAAAGCCTGCTCATTAGCCAATAAAAGGATGCGCCGTACGTAAGGCTGCCCAATAGGGGCGCGAGCGGCGCGGCATTTGAATTCTTCAACAGGCGACTTCGCGGACGATTGCCAGCAGTGCGGGTCCAGAGAACAGACCTAACAGCGCGGTGGAAGCTTGTGTTCTCCCCTCCAGTCCGCGTTCCCTCCTGGGCCGGGCTGTCATTCTTGCTTTCCCGGTCCCTAATGGCGCTGCTCCGACGCCCGACGGTGAGTGGGCCCTGCGACCCCCTCACATGGATGGGGGCTTCTGCCCCGCACGTCCCTCAAGTTCCTCTCACTTTTCTCCAGCTACTACCCTCGTCTTCCAAACCGGCGCTGCTTTTCCCTTCTTCCTGTCTCCAGGTTTTCCTCGCGTCCCTGCCCCTGCAGCAGGCCTTCTCTGGCCAGCCTCTCCCCACCTCCGGCCGGTCTCCGACTCACCTTTCCCTTTTCCACCCCTTTCCCTGCCCTAGGGTGGAAGAGGTGTAGGAAAGGGCGTTGAGGGTGGTGCCTGTCTAGTGAGTCTCTCAGCCAGTGCACACCGAGCGATCCTCAGGTGCTGTTTGTTGTAAGAGTGCTATCCAAATGCAAATTTTGGTAATTTCTTTCCCTTTTTCTCGTAAGTCGACCAACTAAGGAATCTGTTGTGGAGGATGGGAGGAGAAGGACTGGAAGAAATTCCATAGTTAGTAAAGTGTTCTGAATATTTCATTAATCAACAGCCAAGGCCTTTTTTTTTTTTTTCTTTTCATATTTTGCTCTGTGTTTCCCCTTTATTTCTGCACATTAAATCTTCCTGGCTAAAGTGCACTAATGTTTGGGTGTGTCCTTTTAAGAAAATTATTTTTTACTCAAATGTAATAGATTTTGCATATAATTTGGACCAGTATGGCAGCCTGAGAGAAAAGAGTTCAAATTAATTTATTTCACCTTTGCAAAAAATCAACATGTCATGATGTTGTGGATATATTTCCTGTGGGCTTGAGTGCTGTCTGAACCTGCTTTTGTTCTGCTGAAAGCAGGATGGCCCTGACACACCTGAGTTCCATAGTTCTGGCTAAAAGGCTGGTGAAGAGCTGCCAACTTTTCTTTCCAGATGAATTTAAACTTAATTATATTACCAGGCTTCAACTCACAACCATTAAACTTTCAAACATTTAAAAAAAAAAAAAAACAGGCAATTGCTGCTGGAAATATCGCATAGTGTGCTTGATAAGAATCCTAATAGATTGAAGACATTGAGTATTTAATTCATACCTCTTTGTGGATCTGATTCAAACTGATGAATAATTTCTTTCTAATCTATCTCATAGAATTCTTTAATAGTCATATTATTTCTATTCAAAAAAGTTTTCCCCTGCCCCTCTGTCTATCCTGGTAGGTCCACTCAGTCCCCTGCTGACAATTTGTTGAGTTTTGTAGGGTTAGGACCCAACAACTCTTAGTATAGAATATGTTCTTCTTTTCTTATGAAATGTTCAATTACATAAACTTTTTGTATGAATTACTTTTCCTAGCAAGTTGTGTTGCTAAGCATAATCTGTCTAAAGCAAATTGTTGTTTGTTGTTATATGCCATTGAGAAGGACCCGACTCATAGCAACCCCTTCCTGGGTTTCTGAGACAGTTATCACTACGGAAGTAGATTGCCGCATCTTCCTTCTGAGGAGTGGTGGGTGGGTTTGAACCACCAGCCTTCTGGTTAGCAGTCACGTGCCTTAGGCACTATGCTTTTTCTTTCCTAAAATTCCAACTTTCCCCATATTTAAGAACTAAAACTCTTTCCCAAGAAAATTATTTCCCAAGTACACTTAGGATGCAATTCTAGAAGTACTCACTCGTCCATGCCAAGAAATTTGAAAGATACCTACATGGCCAGCCAACTGGAAGAGACCCATATTTGTGCCCATTCCATGGAAAAATGATCCAACAGAATGTGGATTATCAAACAGTATCATTAATATGATATACAGTCAAATTTTGCTGAAGATATTAAAAAGTGGTTGCAGCAGTCCATTGACAGGGAACTGACAGAAATTCAAGTGGGATTCAGAAGAGGATGTGAAATGAGGGGTATCATTGGTTGAAAACAGAAAATACTAAAAAGATGTTTACCTGGGTTTTATTGACTGTGCAAAGGCATTTGACTGTGTGAATCATAACAAATTATGGATAACATTGTGAAGAATGGGAATTCCATAACACTTCATTGAGCTCATATGGAATATGAACCTAGACCAAGAGGCAGTTGTTCAAATAGAACAAGGGATTAATTCAGGGTTGTATCCTTTCATCATATTTATTCAATCTGTATGCTGAGCAAATAATCTGAGAAGCTGGACTATATGAAGAAGAACACAGTATCAGCATTGGAGGAAGACTGATTAACAACCTGCCATATGCAGATGATGTGACTTTGCTTGCTGAAAATGAAGAGGACTTGAAGCACTTACTGATGAAGATCAAACACTACAGCCTTCAGTATGGATTGAAACATTAAACAAAAATCCTCACAACAGGACTAATAAGCAGCAGCATGATAAATGGAGAAAAGATTGAAGTTGTCAAGGATTTCATTTTCCCTGGATGCACAATTAGCGCCCATGAAAGCAGCAGTCAAGAAATCAAATGACATATTGCATTGGGCAAATCTACTACAAAAGACCTATTTAAACTGTTAAAAAGCAAAGATGTCACTTTGAGGACTAAGGGGTGCCTGACCCAAGCCATGGTATTTTCAGTAGCCTCAAATGCATGCAAAAGCTGAATAGTAAATAAGGTAAACCAAAGAAAAATTGATGCCTTTGAATTATGATATTGGCTAAGAATATTGAATATACCATGGACTACCAGAAAAACAAACAAATCTGTCTGGGAAGAAGTACAGCTAGAATACTCCTTAGAAGTGAGGATGGTGAGACTTCCTCTCACGTTTTGGACATATTATCAGGAGGGACCAGTACTGGGAAAAGGACATCATGCTTGGTAAAATAGAGGTTCTGTAAAGAAGAGGAATATCCTCAAAGTGATGGATTGACACAGTGGCTGCAAGAGCAGGCTCAAGCATAGCAAAGATCATGAGGATGGTGCATCACTGGCAGTATTTTATTCTGTTATATATAGGGCTGCTATGAGTTGGAGCCAACTCGGTGAAACCTAACAACAAAAACAAGTACCCTTAATGTAAGAGATTGCTCTATGGCAGGTTCATTTAAAAAGACTGTGTCTCTAAAAAATCATGTCTAAGAAAACTCTTTCTAGAATGGCATAAAAATCAAAGCTAGTTTAGGTTTTAAATATCTAGATTTTAAACAACCAAGCCTATTATAGCTTTTTAATGTTTTGTCCTAATTGCACTTGTTAGGAGCTCTGGTAGCATAATGCCTAAGGCACTTGACTGCTAACCAGAAGGCTGGCGGCTCAAATCCACCAGCCACTCCTCGGAAGGAAGGTTGGGCAATCCTACTTCCGTAGTGACACTGCCTCGGAAACCCAAGGTGGGGTCGCTATGAGTCGGGGCCAACTCGATAGCAAATAACAACAACAATTGCGCTTGTTATCCATCTCTATAAAGGATTGCCTTAAATTTAAAGGAATCTCTAATAAGTGACTTGGTGCTATGTGGAAAATAACCATTTTTCTATGAAGTTTTAAAGTTTCTTATCAGTCCTCATGAATACTCAAAATACCTTTGGAAGGTTAGTGGGAAAACCTTTACTATAGATGAAGTAGACAAGTGATTTGCCTAACTTAGAGTGATGTTATCAATCACACAAAGCATTTTTAGGCCTAATGTGTGCCTTTCTCTCTCAAGTAAATGTGATCATATTCACCTTTCCCCAAACAATTGTGAATTTGGGTATCTGACGTTAGCAAAGTATTGCAAATGATCTAAACTCTACATTATTTTTTTTCTTTTTTAGGTGTGCAGTGATTTGGAAAATGTTGACAAAGAAATTAATTCTAAAACTAAGAGTCATGTGACTGTCAGACGGGGAGTTTTAGAAGAAATTGGAAATAGAGTTACAACCAGAGCAGCACAAGTAGCAAAGGTAACTACCATGCAGATTGTGTGCATGTGGGTGCTGAATCTGTATAGCACTGGAGCAAAACTCACTGGCTTGCTCTACTCACATTTCTTTTTTTAGAAATCTCAGAACACCAAAGTACCTGTTCTAACCACCAAAACAACAAATGTCAAGAAACAACTAAAACCAACTGCTTCTGTGAAACCAGTACAGATGGAAGTGTTGGCTCCAAAGGTAGGAAGTTCTGAATTTACTAACATACCTTTTAAAGTGGCCAGTTTTTAGCCTGTAAGAATGCCTTTGTCATCAGTACAACTTTTGAAGAACATTCTACTTTGAAGCAAAAGTGTAGGAAATGAATACATAGATCTCTTTATGTATGCAGTGGCACTTTAATTTAATGTTATAACTTTGAATAACAAAGTTAATTACCTTAATATACACATAAATTTAGAGTTCTCAGAGTGCGATTAGGTGGGCTTTATTAAAATAATCCACTATAAGGATGAACTTGGCCTACGAAAATGTTGGAAACTCACAATTCTGAGAGTAAACTCATGTAAAAATAAGGTTATGCCAAAATTCTGTGATTTTTGTAGTCTGTGAAAATTGTAGCCTTTGTGACTGGTTAGCTCGGTAGGAATTAGAATACTAATGGGCCCATTGGCTTGTTCACCATCCATCATGTTCAAGCTCCTATGTACATTTATTCATAAAATACCTGACAATTACTATGATACAGGCACTATTGTAGGTGCTAAGAATGTAACAATAGCTATATATATATATGTTGTTGTTATGTGCCATGGAGTTGGACCCAACTCACAGTGACCCCTCCTTGGGTTTCTGAGGCAGTATCACTATGGAAGTAGATTGCCCTTCCTTTCGAAGAGTGGCTGGTGGGTTTGAACTGCCAGCCTTCTGGTTAGCAGTCAAGTGCCTTAGGCACTACACTACCAGAGCTCTAATAATAATACTACTACTAATAATTTTAAAACAGACAAAAACAAACTAAAAAAAAAAAAATTGGAGGCATGGCAGGGTGCCCAGGCTCTGTCCAAGCACACAGACTGGGATGGAATTCCTGCCGGCCCAGAAGGTGGGTGGAAGTGTGGGATGGCCGCACCTCTGTTCACTACAAGGGTGTGGGGTATAAGAATAACAAGGGAATGTCACACCTTTCCAGTCCTTGGCATCCGGAATGTCCTTGTGGTTCCCAGTCCTTAAGTTCCCCTGTTCTTAAGTCCCTGGAATCTGGGAGAATGCTGTCACTTTAAATATCCAAAATGGTCAAACTGCTTGTAAACATTCAAAATGGCTGACAGAAGTCCACAGCTCCGCCCACCATCCTCTTTGCTGCTTCCCCTTTTATTCACCAGCCATCAGAGCAGTCCTCCTGTGCAGTCCCTGGGTAGCGGGGCCAATTTTTAGGTTAATTCTTAGGTCCTACCACAACTCGGCAATATCCAAGCTGTCTGTGCCATCAAGATCACTGCCAGACCACAGCTCCGTATGTCCCTTTTTTTGGTGTTTTCATGAAAATTCTTCTACTAGTTGGAGTTTAGTCTACTTCTATATCCTTCCCTTCAAGGCTCAGGGGTCCAGGATTATCTTCCATATCTGTGTTAATTGGTTCCCCTTTTCTTTGTTGGAGAGGGTCTGTGCAGTCTTTCTGCCTATTCCGCCATCTAACTGGAACTCCCCCATACACACACACACACACACACATATTAGTATGTATGAAAATTTTAAATATGAAACATTGGAATATATTTAGGAAAGGTTGAGTAAGAGATTGCTTATCTTTGAAAGACTTATCTAGAAGAGGGCATATATACCTGGAAGTTAAATTAGCAATCCTAGAGAATGCTGCTAGAATCCCCTTGGATGGATGTCAAATGACTGAGACAGACCTAAGTGATACCCTTTGGAAAATGCACCTGTAGGAGAGAGAGAACACCAAGGGACAGAGTGATCTGGAGAAATGCCATGGTATAAATGGGATTTTAAGGATGATGCCAAAAAGGAGAGCAAAGCAACAACAAAAATAAAGGCACTATAGTGGAAATAGGCCTATAATCATGTTCTTTGGGCAGAGGCTGCCTGTCTGAATTGGTTCAGAAGGTCTGTGTGAGGAAGAAGAATATAAAGTTGGGAAAAGGTTACAGCTGGACTTGAAGACCTTGGAATTTGGATTTTATCCTCTTAGGCAGTGTTATGTATTGAATTGTACCTTGTAAAATATGTGTTGTAAATCCTAACCCCTATATCTGTGGCTATAATCCATTTGGGTATGGATTTTCTTTGTTATATTAAGAGACCTATCAGAGAGGGTGTATTTTAAGCTAATTATCACCTTTGAGACAGAAAAAGAGCAGAGATTGTGGTAGATGCCATGCCACATGAATATCACAGAGGAGCCAAGGAAAAGAGATAAGGACCTTCCCCCAGAGCAATGTGAGAGAGAAAGCCCTCCCCCACAGCTAGCACCCTGATTTCAGACTTCTAGCCTCCTAAACAATCAGAAAATAAATTTCTGTTTGTTAAAGTCACCCACTTGTGATATTTCTCTTATAGCAGCACTAGATGACTAAGACAGGCAGTGAGGTGAAAAACTGGTGAAGAGTTTTGAGAAGGGGAGAAATGAAAGCCATGTAGAGTATCCATGGAAGAGGGAGGTAAAGTAGGAGGTATTACAATTGTCCTCACAAGATGATAAGAGTCTAAACTACCCCAGCCTTCCCCTCAGCACTTATCCCTGTGTCTATATGCTTACCCTTATGTCTGTATCTCTGTGGTATGCTAAGAATAACATTGACTGTAAATACAGTATTAAGTTAAACCAGAACTCCTCAGGGACATCATCCTATGTATTTAGAAAGAATAATTTGGGTATGTTGAATGGGGTATAGGAGTGAGACCCTTAAGCACTTGTATATTTGAGAAATGATTTAAGGAAAATATTGAAAAATAGAGGAAGTCAGCAGAGTAAGGTAGTTTTGGGGAAGGTATACTGTTTGGCTTAGATTTGTTGAGGTAACAGAGGAATAGTCACTTGAAAATGCAACTAGAAATGTGCCAGTGACATCAGAGTGAGAGGGGCATACGAGGGAGCCTTCTATGTAGAGGTGATGGCTAAAAGCAAGCTGCTGCTTATAAGACAGAAAGGAAAAAAAAAAATCTTCAAATCAAGAATGAAAGTTTGGAACAAATAACTGTGCTGGCTCAAGATTAACCTTCCTTTAAGAGGGAACCTTCCCTTGAAGGTTTCCACTGACCTCATAAATAACAAAGCCAAAGGCAGATTTTTAGATCTTGATCTCTTGACCATGTGCTCCATTTTATATGGGTGATTGTTTGTTTCAGGATAATTTGGCATTATGTTTCAAATGGTTATTCTTCATACTCAAAAAAATCTGTTTTTAAAATGTATCCTCAGAAAATGATCAGAGATACCTTATTTGAAAGATATTTAAAAGGTCAAGGACTTTTAAATAGTGCTGTAATAAGTCTTATGTAGCAGAGAAATGTCATATAATAGGAGATCAGTTAAATCCACTTAATAAAATACTATACAACCACAAATATATTTTCATAGAATATTTAAAGATGTGGGAATGCCTGTTTTAGGAGGTGGAAAAATCAAGTTGCAACACAATATATACAGATTTGCTTTAAAATTGTGCATGTATATGCAGAATATTAGTTATTTTTAAGTTTGTGTTGGGCTTAAGATTAATTTTTATTTTCTTCCTTAACATTTTCATACTTCTTGCTGTAGGTACATATTACTATTAGAATCAGAGAGGAAGGAAAAAATAAAATACTACTAATAATAAACAAAGAACCAAAAAGCGTAATGGAAAAATAAAAGAAAAATTGTTTACTGCTATGATCTCCACAACTCCATTCTTTTCTGGGTTCCCTTTACTCCACATCTTCTTGGCTGACTCCTTTTTCTCTAGATTCCTTATAAAACTGAAACTCAAACTCATGTAAGACTCATGACTTAGGCCACAGTATTACAGATAGAGAATTATGGCCCTCGTAGCACAGTGCTCATGTGCTCAGCTACTAACTAAAAGATTGGCAGTTCAAACCCACCAGCCACTCTGTGGACAAAATGAGGCAGTCAGCTTCTATAAAGATTTATAGGCTTGGAAATCCTATGGGGCAGTTCTGCTCTGTCCTTATAGGATCTCTATGAGTCAGAATCAACTCAACGACCACGATTTTTTTTTTTTTTCAAACTCAGTTCATATAAAAATCATTTCATTGGATGTTCTAAGTTTTAGAATACATAAGGGATTAATGAGCAACAGTTATTTGCAATTCAAATATACTTCTCCCTGAGGAACATAGTACAGAAAAGGCCATTAAATCCACAGCTTAGATAAAGCCCTCTCCTAACAGGTAAATCTCTCTGCTTGTCTGTCTGCTGGTCACTGAGGTGAGCCCTCTTAGCTTTTACTTTGTTACCTGTTTTGTCTGCAAAAAGGAACCCTGGTAGTGTAGTGCAACTGTTAAGTGCTCAGCTGCTAACTGAGGTTGTTGGTAGGAACCTACCCAGATGCTCTGCAGGAGAAAAACCTGGCAATGTGTTTTTATAAAGATTACAGCTAAGAAAACCAAATGGGGCAGTTCTACTGTCATATGTGGGGTCACCATGAGTCGAAACTGACTCCACCACACCCAACAATTGTCTGCAGAGCTATTGCTGTTCCTTCTATAGCCAATCCCTAGAGCTGTGGAAATGCACAACAGTTTCCAATAATATTAAGCTCTGGATAGCTTATAACATGTATCCATGAAAGCATACATTCCAAAGTTTCTAACTGAAATCACACTGTCCTCCCTGCGAAACTAGAAGGCAGGTTTCTTCCTTTGCAGAGGATGAAGAAACTGAATCACCAAAGGCTTTGGGTGAGACTCAGATGCTTATTTCCTGCAATTTTTGAAGAAAACAAATTGGTTTTGCTGACTCACGAATGAATTTTGAAAGGAAGAAGAACACTTTTTACTGACCACTTGTTTGCGGGCTCTGAGAAAATAAGTTGAATAAACCACCTATTCTGTCTTCAAATAGCCCCAGTCAAGTTGGGGACCGAAGGAGTAAAAGGGTGAGTTATAACATCCCAGTATAGAGACAGACATGAGCCTAGGAAATGTACTAGGTCATAGTGGCTAAACAATCTGATGAATTTTGAGGGTTATAGGTGATTTAAACACCAAAGTCAGTGATAGTCATTATTCAAGTACATGAATGTTTTTTGGCCTAACTTTTCCTAATGCAAAAACTATATATAAAAGGCAAATAAGCACAGCTCTATATTTTTTTATTTTTTAAAAAAGTGTTTTTTAATTACACAAGAAATATATAGTCATAAAAAAGCAAAATAATATAGAAGTCCAGAGACTACTCAGACTGCCCTTCTACTTCCAAAATTCCATTCCCTAAAGCTAATCGAGTAACAAGAAGCCGTGGCAGCACAGTGGTTAAAGTGCTCAGCTGCTAACCAAAAGGTCAGCAGTTGGAACGCACCAGCCACTCTTGTGGGAGGAAGATATGGCAATCTGCTTCCATAAAGATTTACAGCCTTGAAACCCTCTGGGGCAGTTCTACTGTGTCCTATACCATACCATACCAAACTCACTGCTGTCGAGTTCGTTCTGACTCATAGTGACCCCTCTTTGGGTTTCTGAGGCAATATCTCTATGGAAGTATATTGCCCAATCTTCCTTCCAAAGAGTGGCTGGTGGGTTTGAACTGCCCGCCTTCTGGTTAGCAGTCATATGCATTAGGCACTACACCACCAGAACTCCTGTCCTATAGAATCGCTATTAGAATGGAATCAATGGCAATGGGTTTGCTTTTCAGTTTTAATCGGGTAACTGGCTTTACCTTTCTAGATTTTTGTGTGTACCTATCTCTCTCTATGTATATCTTTGCTCTGTTGTGGATGAGGTTGTCTCTCATTGGAGCCAACTCCACAGCAACTAACAACAACAATGTATCCACATGTACTCATTTATTAGTACAAATAATGAATTGTCTTAGAAGTTTTTCTAGGGTCCTTTCCTTTTGTACTTTATTGACATTACTAATCTATCATACATTTGGTAAATGAAAGTATTCAATGTTTTATCAAAACTCGTGTAAATACCTTTATAAAACTCACTGCCATCGAGTCAATTCCAACTCATAGTTGACCCCTCCTTGGATTTCCAGGGTGGTAGTATCTCTACAGAAGTAGATTGTCCAGCCTTTACTCACCCTCCACTCAGCTCCTCACCAAAAAGGACCTTACCAAATTAGGCAAAATTTCATATTCTCATTGTGTCTTAGCGCCCTGGTGGTACAGTGGTTAAGGCATTCGGCTGCCAACCAGAAGACTGGTTGTTCAAACCCACCAACTGCTCCATGAGAGAAAGATGTGTCAGTTTCCTTCTGTAAAGATTTACAGCCTTGGAAACCTTGTGGGACATTTCTACTCTGTACTGTAGGGTTACTGTGAGTCAGAATTGACTTGATAGCAGTGGGTTTTTTGGGGGTCGTTGTTTCTGCTCTTTTTGTTCATCTCCGATACCCAACATTGTTCATTTGTTAATCTAGCTTGAAGGTTTTTATTCTTAGACCACTTCTGTCCTTCACAAGTTTGACAATGAATTGTACATGTTGAAATTGTTAAGATGGCAAATATTTTGTTATGTATATTTTCACCATGATTTTAAAAATAAAATTTGTAACAGTTAACTACTTGGTGCGGTTTATTAACCTTGCATGTAGCAGACATTGGACAGAAGATTACATGGTTGGTCCCATAGGGCTCTGGCAACTGTCTGAACAGATTAATAGAACCTTAGAGATAGTCTTAGAATAGTTCAGCTATGTCAGAATTGACATGGAATTGTTTTCAAGAAATTGCAAGTTAAAAGCCAGAACAAATATCTTTGTGTCATCCTGGAGGCTTTCGGATATGGCTAAACTCTGGTTCACTTTTGAACAGAGCAGTGATAAATATTCACAACTGGAAGGAAGGAGCTTTTCCAGAGGTGTACCAATAATGTTTACTTCTTTAAACCAGGATGACCTCCTATCCTGGGGAGGAAGGTAATGCTTATCCTTGAAAAGGAGCTCTGAAACTGAAACTCCATCAGCTTCTTAAAATGCACATCTGATTCCATTCATGTTTGCAAAAGTCCTTCATTGGTTTCACTTTACCTTTGGATAAAATCCAAATTCTAGTGCAGTTCTTGATCACTTTTCCAGCCCACCTTCTCACACTTAACCTTGCTATGCTTCCATCAAACCAAATCAACCTGCAGTTCTCCTAATTACTGTATTACGTTGCTTCTCCTGGCACTTTGCATGGGGCTTTCCTTTTGTTGCCTCATCTTCTTTCAGGTCTTTTCCCTCTGGGGAACCTCATCTAGGTTTCTCTCCAGATTCCAATGTAGCTCTTTCACTGATTCTAGCCCCTTGAGGTTCTCAAATTCTTGAATAAATGGCCTGCAGACCATTTGCTCACCCAGCCTTCTGTCAGTTTAAGACCACTGATTTCAGGGGGAAGAGCACGTTTTGAATTACTTTAAAAAAATTTTTTTTTCTTGTCTAACACTGGAAACTGTAATCATAGAGCTTAAGTGGAGATTTTTTCCTGTTTCTATTGACTAATTTTTCTCTACTTATATGACAAATTTTTCTGCTACTGAGTAGGTCTAGGAAATTTTTTAAACATTCTATTTTTTGGTGGAAATATGCACAGCAAAACCTGTTCCCATTCCCTAGTTTCTACACATAATGATTAGTGACATTGGTTAAATTCTTCACATTGTGTCAACATTCTCATTATTTCTGTTCTAGTTGTTTCACTTCCATTAATCTCCCTGCCCCCTTTTCATCTATGTTTTAAAATAGCTATTCATCTTTTTAATGCATATTTAAATTATGTGTATGTTTTATTATGCAGCCTTCTCTATGAGTTTTGTATGTTATTACATTAATACATATTCTTTATGGTCAAGCAGTCCTATTAGGTTTCACTTTGAGAAGTACTCATTAATCTTTTTAAGAGTAATATTTTACTTATTCCTCAATACTTAGTACTTGTTTTAACTGATTTATGAATTTTTAATTTGTGTGATTTTTATAAAAATTACCCAGTAAGCATAATAAAATAAAATAATGGGTTGTACACTTGCTCAGTCTTTGATTCCTCCTCCTATCTTATTCATAGACTGGAGTATGCTATTCTACTTCTCAGTTGCTAGTTTCTCAAATTAGAATAAATTAGTTGAACAGAGGAAAATGTTACACTTGTAGAAGAGACTACTGCTGAAGAGAATGATCAGTTTCAGTAATCTCTGAACGCACATAGCTAAATTTCTTTCATTTAATAAATATTTGTTCAGTACCTACTCTGTGTCAGGGATTATAATAGGTATTTGAGATAACCTTAGGGGACCAAACCAATTAAAATAAATAAATGCTCATTTAGGGAACATTTGAGCACAGGTAGATAGAAAATAAACAATGAGCATAATATATAATTCTATAGTATGTTAGAAGATTATATATTCTATGGGAAAAAAACAATAAGAAAGATTCGACATATGTGTATGAAAGGGAAGTGGAATGGGGGGGCAGGTTTTCTGGATAGACCTCATTGAGAAGATAACATTTGGCAAAACTTGAAGGTGGTGAGAATGTACCCATGTGGATATGGGGGCAAGAGCATTCCCATTAGAGGTAGCAGGGGAGGCAGAAGCTCAGCAGGCTGGAGTGGCAAGCCAAGGGGAGGAGTAGGAGATGGTTCAGAGGACAAGGAGGGGCTAGGGAGCAGATCATGCAGCATCTGTAGGCCATTGTGAGGACTTAGGTTTTTATGTAGAGTACAGTTGTTGTTAGTTGCCTTTGTGATGATTCCAGTGCATGGTGACTCCACGTGTGTTGAGTAGAACTGCTCCGTAGTGTTTTCAAGGTGTGACCTTTTAGAAGCACGTTGCCAGCCCTGTTTTCCGAGGCACCTCTGGATTGGAACCACCAACCTTTCATCTAGTAGTTGAACACAACTGTTTGTGCCACCCAAAGCTCCTAGAGTGAGATTAGAGGAATATTTCTTTAAAAACGTCATCTACTATATCTTATACCTCAACATAAAGAAAACAAAATCCTCACAACTAGACCAATAAGCAGCATCACAATAAATGGAGAAAAAATCAAAATTGTCAAAGATTTCATATTACTCAATTCTACAATCAACAACAATGGAAGCAACAGTTAAGAAATCAGACGATGTATTATTACACTGGGCAAATCTGCTGCAAAAGACCTCTTTAAAGTGCTGAAGAGCAAAGATATCTTTTTGAAGACTCAGGTGCATGTAACCAAAGTCATGATATTTTTAATAGCCTCATTTGCATGTGAAAGCTGGACAATAAATAAGGAAGGTTGAAGAAGAGTTGATGCTTTTGAATTGTGATGTTGACAAATAATACTGAAAGTACCATGAAACACCAGAAGAACTAACATCTGTCCTGGAAGAAGTGTAGCCGGAATGCTCCTTGGAAGCGAGAATGGGCAGATTTCATCTTACCTACTTTGGTCATGTTGTCAGAAGGGACTGTTCCCTGGAGAAGGATATCATGCTTGGTAAAGTGGAGGGTCAGGGAAAAAGGGGAAGGCCCTCAAAGAGATGTATTGACACAGTGGCTGCAATGATGGGTTTGGGTATGGCAAGGATTGTGAGGTAGGACCAAGCAGTGTTTTGTTTTGTTGTACATAGGGTCGCTGTGAGTTGGAGTCAACTTCATGGTACCTAACAACAACAACAACGAACTATATCTTTTTGAACTTTGAAATTTGTTTAGGCTTTAACATATTACAAAAACGCATGTGATATTGATCTTTAAGCCATTTGGCTGCATACATATTTTGTCATTAAGGCTACTTCTAAGGTGGTAGTAAGTCATGTGCTTTAATTTGTTGGCATAGGGTCCATCTTCCACACATGAGGATGTCTCCATGAAGGAAGAGAATTTGTGCCAAGCTTTCTCGGATGCTTTGCTTTGCAAAATTGAGGATATTGATAACGAAGACTGGGAGAACCCTCAACTCTGCAGTGACTACGTTAAGGACATCTATCAGTATCTAAGACAGCTTGAGGTGAGCAGGCCTTGTGTTTTGGTTGTACCAGCAACATGGAGTTTCCCATAAACCTGGAAGGAAAATGAGCTCAGCTTTTTAAAATTGCAATTCCACCAACAGGTTCTGCAATCCATACACCCACGTTTTTTAGATGGAAGTGATATCAATGGACGGATGCGTGCCATCTTGGTGGACTGGCTGGTGCAAGTCCACTCCAAGTTTAGACTTTTGCAGGAAACACTGTATATGTGTGTTGCTATTATGGATCGCTTTTTACAGGTAATTGGGGGTTCAGAAATTTCACACCAACAGCTCATCAAACATTGCTTTTATGCTTTGGGGATAGAAAGCTAAGATGTGGTTCATCTGAGGGAAAGACCTAAAGCCATTTTAGGAGAAGCCTAAGAACTTCAGGTGCTAAAAAGGGAAGTAAAGCAAACGTGTCAAGCTTTATCTTTGGTGAAGCTGACTGATGCTTTGTATCTTTTGAGTGGTGCAACCTGCTAAAAAGTGCTCAGGGGGACATAACTGCATTGGCACAATCATTCATCAAACACAGACAATATACCATCAGATAGTCTGAAAATCACTCTGAAGCTTGTGGTGCCTTTGGACCCTGGTTTTCTAGGCCTACTTGCACAGTTTCCAGAGTTTGGTACTCTTTGGTATTAAATTTCTCTCTAGAAAATGAGGAGTATGACTAGATAACCTCAAAGACTCCAGCCAGCTCTGACATTGAATACCTTTAGAAGTAAGAGGGAGGAGGCAGAATTAAAAGTAAATAAATAAGAGAAAGTATGTGTAGTGAACTGAGAATGTGAGGCAATGAAGAGGAATGTGAGAAAATAAGCTAAGAAATGAAGTGCTCTTCAAGATATTTATCAACCATTAAGACACAGACACTGACCAGTCAGAAGAGAGGCCAGAGATAAACCACAGATAAGGATTTATTTAAAATCAACATTTGTGATGTGGGTTCAGATTAAGTACAAATTCTACCCAAACAATACAGTAATATCGTAATTATGTTTATAATAATGACCCTGAAGTACTGCAAAATCCTAAACAATCATAGCTTCAGTGGTTTTCAGTTTATATTCCTCATAGGGCAGGAAAGCATGGCAATATTTTAGGTAGATTTTCAATAATGAGTGTTGAAGCAAGAAAAAAGCAAAGCCCAGTTAAATAAAAATATTAAGCAAAACAGTTATTCCCTAGACCGAGATATGCCCTGACTCCGAAGCATTATTGAAAGAATCTTCAAGCTGAATAAATGTACTTTTGGTGAGGATTAAGGAAAAGTTTGAGCCGCCCCCTTCTCTGCCACTAGGAAGCCATTACATTTCTGCTTTTTTGCTTCGCTTTATTTCCATTCAGACCACTTAGAGTACCAATCCAGGGATGCCATAAACACTCAAGTCTGCATGATGGGGGAGGAGCAGTGACTAGGAGTTTTGTTGTCAGGCTTGGATTCATACCTAGTCATACCCTACTCAATAACTGAGTGATCTTGGCTAGCTTCAGAATCTCTCCTTAGACCATCTACTTTAAATGGAAATAAAAACACATACTTGCTAGGATTTTTATGAGGATCTGAGGAGATAATGTGCTAGAGTCTTAGCACAGTGCTGGGCACATAGCATAGTACTTAATCATTGAAAGACAGTTGCCATATAGGTGGTGGTACTTAACATTTAGGTCTCTTTTGCCCTTAAGAGGGGCATGAGCAGGGATGAAATGCAGTTCTCTAGGACTTAGTTTCCTCTCACCATGCTCTACCCAAAGAAGCAACCTACTTGTTAGATATGACTTTTGACATAGTTTTGCTTCAATTAGATTCAGCCAGTCTCTCGTAAGAAGCTTCAACTGGTTGGGATTACAGCTCTGCTCTTGGCTTCCAAGTATGAGGAGATGTTTTCTCCAAATATTGAAGACTTCGTTTATATCACAGACAATGCATATACCAGTTCCCAAATCCGAGAAATGGAAACTCTAATTTTGAAAGAATTGAAATTTGAGTTGGGTCGACCCTTGCCCCTACACTTCTTGAGACGGGCGTCGAAAGCTGGGGAGGTAAGTGCTTCTAACTTTGTGGGAGACTTTATTTTGCTGTTTGAGGTCTCCCTCAGAAACATTGATCTACATACTCTTGATTAAAAGGAACCTTATGAACTTATAGGAGGCATCTGTTAGGTAAGTCCTAATGCTTGTTTCATCACTTCTTAAGAAAAAAGACCTCACGCTCTGTATCTGTAATATACTGTGCAATAGAGCAGTTCTTGTGAGGATAAGTGGAGTAAGAAGATTTGAGTTCCTAGACCTTCACCCAGAATTTTGCAAGATATTTATAACAGTTGTGATTCTTACTGTCATTTGCTATTCTTTCATAGGTTGATGTTGAACAGCACACTTTAGCCAAATATTTGATGGAGCTGACTCTTATTGACTATGACATGGTGCATTATCACCCTTCTAAGGTAGCAGCAGCCGCTTCCTGCTTGTCTCAGAAGGTTCTAGACCAAGGAAAATGGGTGAGTGGTGCATTTAAGAAGAAATCAGTTAGGTTATAGTTTAGGTCCTCTTGATATGAAAGGATGTAGCCTTTCCATAATGCTATCCTTGAAGCAGTTGTCCAAAGCCTTAAAAGAAAGTTTCTTAGAAGAATCCAAATGTCCTTCTACAAAAGTTGAGTATACCATGGTACACAAATGCACTGAAATGGTGTGGTTTCCAGTTTACTTTGTTAAGTGAAAGTCATAAGCACACAAGCAAGACAAGGCCAAAGCCTGACTTATCTGGCCCATAAAGACACAGTGAACCACTGCTACGGTAGATAAGATGCCTGCTCCCTGGGTCTTTGTCTCACACCAAAGAGGATCAAGTGAAAAAAAGGGGGGGACCAGGGCACTGTAATGCAAGTTGTGGGATATTCTCTTGTTGAGAAGCCAACTCAACTGCTGCCAAACTCACTGCCAACGAGTCAATTTGGACTCATAGTGACCCTAAAGGTCAGAGTAGAATTGCCCCATAGGGTTTCCAAGGCTGCAAATCTTTACAGAAGCAGACTGCCTCATCTTTCTCCCACAGAGTGATTGGTGGGAAGTGGTTTTATGTTCCGCAGTTATGAAAAGGGTGGAGCAGGCAGTTTCATCATAACCCAGGGGATGATGAGAAACTATGTCATAACAGCCTCCCAGGGGACAAGAGGAAGGAAGGAAAGAAGGAGATGGTTTGAGGCAGCTCCTCCCAGCATCCTCTGTTGGTTGTTGAGGATTAAAAAGTATTTTGCTAAGATAGGTTAACTAGTTCAAGCCTTTGCCTGGGCTGCCTGTATAGCTATATGTAAGGTTACAAGGGGGCCATGGTGGGAACCTTTCCCTGCACAAGTATATACAACATTTTACATTTTATGTCAGAAAGAAGGGGAAATAAACTAGAAATTAATGAAAATGGATACATATGTGGGTAAGTAGACATAAGGTAGAAGGCTGAGGATGGGAGCAGAGCTTCTGATTGTAACGTTTTATATAGTTTTGACTTTTGAACAATAAAAATGCATAAAATGTTTTATGCAAACCGGAAAATGGAATTAAAAAGAAACAAAGTAATTATCAAATCAGTAAAAGAGCATGGAGGAAAGAATTAATTCAAATACCTTTGTTTTGATTGAGGTGAAATTCGCATAACATAAAAATTAACCATTTTGAAGTGATCATTTCAGTGGGTGGTATTTATTACATTCACAATGTTGTATAACCACCACCTCTGTCTCACACCAAAACATTTTCATTACCTCAAAATGAAACTTCTTACCTATTAAGTGGTCAGTCCCCATTCCACCCGCCACCCTGGCCCTTGACAACCACCAGTCTGCCTCTATCTCTATGGATTTACCTATGCTGGATATTTCATGCAGTGAGTGACCTTTTGTACAAGTATTTGAATGCCTGTTTTCAAATAACTTTTGAACATAGCATTCTTTCTTTTTTTTTTTTTTTTTTTTTTTTTTTGTAATGATAACATACACAACAAGACATTCACCAATATAACTTGCCCATTTACAGCTCAGGGACATTGATGACATTTTTCATGTTGTACCACCATTATTGTTATCCTTTTCCAAAATATTTCACCACCATTAGCATAAACTCAATGCCCTATAAACAAAAGCTTCCCCTTTCCTCCCTCCCTCCTACCCCTGGAACCACTAATAATCTTTGGTGTGTATATATATATAAAAGCTCTGGTGGTGTAGTGCCTAACGCATTTGACTGCTAATCAGAAGGATGGTGGTTCAAACCCACCAGCCACTCCTCAGAAGAAAGACTGGGCAATCTACTTCCACAGAGACACCACCTTTGAAACCCAAGGAGGGGTCACTATGAGTCGAAATCGACTCCACAGCAGTGAGTTTGGGTTTTTTGGTTTATATATGGAAGGTTGGGCAATTTACTTCCATAGTGATACTGCCTCAGCAATCCAAGGAGGGGTCGCTATGAGTTGGGTCCGACTCGACGACACACAACAACAAATATATAAACTATCTGGGGCTTTTCCCTCCCCATCCCTGGTAATCAACAAAGTTTTCTTTTATATATAAACCTTTCCTTTTTAGAATAGTGGACTGTAATATTTGTCCTTCTGTGATTGACTTATTTCATTTAGCATAATGTCCTCCAAGTTCATCCACATTATGTGGTGTTTTGCAAATTCTGTATTATTCTTTAGTGTTACATGGAATTCCATTGTGCATATGTACCACAGTTTTGTTATCCATTTCTCTGTTGATGGGCACTTAGACTGTTTCCATCTCTTCGCTACTGTGAGTAGTGCTGCAGTGAACATGGGTGTGCATATACCTATTTGTGTCCTGACTCTGAGATTGCATTCTTAGTGGGAACAAAGTTGGACAAAACAAAGGAACAAAATGATAAGGATATTTGAAGTATACTTAGTAGGTTTGTTGCTAATAGTAATAAGACATTGTAATTCTGAAACTATTTTATGTATCTTGTAGGATAAACCAAATAAATGTATTCCAGGTGTTAAGCATTAAAATTTTCACTATAAAAGAGAGAAAACATTGTAAAAAACTGAAAACAAAAACCCCTATAATATTAAGTATGATTTGGAACTATCAGTAAATTCATAATGGAAGTATCTAGAAACAATGACAACCCAGTAACAATGAACATACCTAGTGCCTAGATCTTGGATACTAAACACTGTTATCCTCTAGGCACTAGGGCTTCTTAGATAAATGGCTGATTACAGGGCTACAGCAGGGAAAGTCCAACTTGTGCCAGAAAGCAAATAATTCTCAAAGACTAATGAATGGGGTCATAGAAAAAGGACACAGGAAATAGCTTGAAGGAGCTCTTACTAGCCATGTTTGTTTAATTTGGGTATCAAAAAGAATAATGACCACAATACATTCTAATGCATTAAAAAAAAAAGAAGAAGAATCCACGTCTTTAATGCCTTAATAAACTGAGTTTTTTTTTAGTAGAATGCAAATTAAAGTAGAAATGATGATAGAAACTCATTGTTTTTTAACTTCCAATGTAATAATTGACCCGAGCAAGGATCACTAATGGATGCTAAAATCAAAGATGTCACTTTGAGCACTAAGGTGTGCCTGACCCAAGCCATAGTATTTTCAGTTGCCTCAAAGGCTGTGAAAGCTGGAAAGCAAATAAGGAAGACTGAAGAATTGATATCTTTGAATTATGATCTTGGCAAAGAATATTGAATATACCATGGCTTGACAGAAGAACAAACACCTGTTTTGGAAGAAATACAGCCAAGAATGCTCCTTAGAAACATGCATGGCGAGACTTCATCTCATGTATTACCATCAGGAGAGACTAGTTCCTGGAAGAGACATCATGCTTGGTAAAGTAGAACGTCAGCCAAAAGGAGGAAGAAACTTCATGAGATGGGTTGACACAGTGGCTATGAGGATGGGCTCAAGCATGGCTATGCTGGTGAGGATGCTGCAGGACTGGGCAGTGTTTTGTTCTGCTCTGCTGTTCACAGGGTTGTTATGAGGCACAACCTAACAACAACAACAAAATCATTAGGTGAAATAACTTTGGAGAACAATATTCAAATCTCAAAATATCACCCCACAAATACTAGTTCCAAAGAAAACTGTACCCTTAAAATGGAGAAATCTGGCAGTGACCTCCTTAACTATATAATTAAGGTAGGCATCACCAGTGGTGGGATCACCAGACTTAATGTGTCTACTAATGCAATAAGGAGTATACATTTTCACCTATGTAGTAGTCATGCTAAAAATGATTGACACTGGGGTGTGCTCAGAGCAGGGTGCCTAAAGAGTGGCTTCTCTGTTTATAACACACCTAAGAGGAATCTGGGTTCGTTGAGATAAGGGGCACAACTTATGGCTTTCCTGTGAACAAAGCACACCCTACACATGTCTTCCCTCCACCTCCAAGTGGCTCCTGGGTAATGCTAATAGGAGAGGGTTCACTATTGGAGGAAAGACTGTAGTATTTAGTTGGGGAGATTGCCACCTAGAGCTTGCCCAGTCCATGGCATTTATGGGCCATCTTAGCAATAATGGCTTTGAACTTCTTTTTTCAAGAAAAAAAAAATGTTGACAGGAGACAATCAGATATATCCAGAATATGGAACATTTTCAAAGTAACTGGCTTGTATGCATCGAAAAGTCAGTGTCAGAGCTAAAAAAGTAGAGATTATTTTAAATTAAAAGAGACTAAAGAAAGACACAACAACCAGAAGTACTGCATGTACCTTGAATACCCTGGATTGAAAAAAAAAAAAAAAATCTATAAAAGACATTTTTGGAATAATTGGGGGAAATTTGAATATTGATACTAAATGATAAGGAATTATTGACAATTTTCTTATGTGATAATGGTGTGGATAGGTAGGAAAATACTTGCTGAAACATTTAGGAGGAGCATGTCATTTTCAAATGGTTCAGCAAAAATGTGTATGTGTATGTATGTAGAAAGAAAATAGCAAAATGTTAACTATTGTAAAACAATTTGTCAGTCCTCAAAAGTCATAGAATTACTATATGATTCAGCGATTCCATTTCTAGATATATACCTAAAAGACTTGAAGGCAGGAACTCAGACAGACACTTGTATACCAATTTTCATTGCACTGTTCACAACATCCAAAAGGTGGGAACAACAACAAATGAATGGATAAGCAAAATGAGGTCTATACATCTAATAGAATATCACTGAATTATAAAGAGAAATGCAGTCTGATACATGCTTTGACATGGATGAAGCTTGAAAACATGCTGAGTGAAATAAGTCAGGCACAAAAAGGACAAATGTTCCCAAGTATATAAAATATCTAGAATAGCAAATGCATAGAGACCACTGTATAGTAGTGGTTTCTAGGGGTGGGAGAGAGTGGAAAATGGGGAGTTACTGCTTAAAGGGTGCCAAATTTCTGTTAAGGGTGATGGAAAAATTTAGAAATGGATAGTGGTAATGGTTATACAGCATGGTGATTGTAATTGATGTTACTGAATTGTATACATAACAACAGCTGAAATGGAAAATGTTTTGTTATGTATATTCGACCACAATAAAATAAAAAATTTTTAAATGTTGATTGATGAATCTCCATGAAAGACAGACATATTCATTATATGTATGTTTATGGTTTTATTCTTTCAATTTTTCTGAAATTAAAAAATTTATTTGAAATTAAAAAAAATAGTAAGTTTGAGGCAAAAAAGCCACTGACAGATCGTACATAGGCCTCATGCTGATGGCTCATTTTCCCCAATTACTTTACTCTTAAACCCATTTCTTTGGGCCGTAAAACCTATTAACAGTAGGCCTCCCAGTTTTCTGGGAATTGATTTCACAATAGCAGTTGTTGTTGTTGTTGTGTGCCTTCGAGTTGGACCCGACTCATAGCAACCCCTCCTTGGGTTGCCGAGGCAGTATCACTACGGAAGTAGTTTGCCCAACCTTCCTCGGAATCACAATAGCAGTAGTTGTGCATTATTCCAGTATTCACACCAGCTTAGTTCTTTTTTCCTTTCAAACTACTTTAGGATTAAAATTAAATTGAGGTTTATTTTCCTATTCAATTCCACAAAGTTTTTACTGTACATAGGAATGTATTTTAGCTTTGAAAATTTTGTCATGTAATTCTGAAATAAAGTCAGATTACGTATCTTCATGCATAGTAAGCCTTATCTGTCAATAGCTGTTCTTTTGCTGGAATCTTGTTTAGGAGGCTAGGTCACCAGGCTGGAAGAAGTGGCTTCTCAGGGTTCTTCCTGATCTCTGGTACCTAACTACACAGGGCCCAAGAAGAGAGGTCTAGGTAGTCGTAGTTCTTCTGGATGTGGTAGATTGCTGCCTGTGGTAGTTTAGTTCTTCATTTTGAGCCTTTTGCCTTAACCAACAGTGTGGAAGTCTGGGTCTGGCGCTCACTGACAGCTCTGCCATGCAGGGTTCTGATGGAGGGATATGCAAGGTGGGCCGGGCCCAGGCCTTTGCCTACACTGTGCAGGGGGCATTTGTTGTTTTGTTTTGTTTTTACTCTGTCCCATTTTAATTCTTTTTAAGAATTAAAAAATAAAGGTAGGCCTTACTTGAAGTACGGTATATACCTGTGCAAGGAGCCCTGGTAGCACAATGGTTAAGTGATCAGCTGCTAACCTAAAGTTTGCTGGTTCAAACCTCGTACCAGTGATTTCATGGGAGAAAGGCCTGTCAATCTGCTCCTGTAAAGATTATAACCAAGAAAACCCTATAGGGCAATTCTACTCTGTCACATGGGGACATCATGAGTCCAAAAAAACTCAATGACACCTAGCAACAACAACACATACCTGTGCAAGGGTGGGGAGGGTGCCATTGACACTTGACTTAGCCTAGACCTAACAATATCTTAATTTAGCCCTGTCTCAGGGCCAGAATAAACCTGACTGCATTAGCTTTGCTGATACTTAAGTGTGGTTAGAACTATGACTGGATTTCTGGGAGGTAAGAACATTCTTTTACAACTTTTACATAAGTAACATCTTTATGTGCAAAATGTGCTCTTCTAAGGAGGAGAGGCTTTGTGGTGCCCCTCAATGGCTCACTTACATCATCCTTTTCTTTGCCTTGTGTTCTAGAGCTTAAAGCAGGAATATTACACTGGATATAAAGAGAATGAAGTATTGGAAGTCATGCAGCACATGGCCAAAAACGTAGTGAAAGTAAATGAAAACTTAACAAAATTCATTGTAAGTACTGGCTTTCCCTAAGCTCTGGAAAGCATTGGACTATGGGTTGTGTGTGTGCTTTCATGTAAATATATTACGGGTTATGTGGGAGTCAGTTTAGTATAAATTGTTTATACTTTTCTGGTACAGTAGGCGATAGAGCATATTGGTGAGCCCAAATTCTTTTGAAAGTAGACTTTATCTTTCTTTGAAACAAAGTAGATGGGCCTGGTTTGTAGTCAGCCAGTCAGTGTATATGCTCCATTCTCATGCCAGCAGCCTGGATACTAGCAGGCAAGGAAGGCTGGTAGGCATGTGATCAGGAAGAGCTAGGGCATCTTGAACGGCTGTGTGGAAGTCTTGAGTATTCAGGTAACATTATCCAGGATCTTTTGGGACTGAAAGACATCTGATTAACAAACATGGTGAACACAGGGACAGGAAGCCCTTTTAGGAAGCAGCCTAAAGCCTGGTATCTGTCTCTCTGTGGCCCACATACAGGAGTCAGAAGAGACTTGGGCTTGGCCTGCACTTGTGTAGCACCAAATAAAGAGTCTGGCGACAAAGGGCAAGAGAAGAGTCTCAGTATGACTTGCTTTCTTACATATGACTTTAGCATGATTTCACATAATGTAGAAGCATCATGTATTCTCAGTACTGAGGGTGTTGTCTGGGATCTGCCAAGTACTAGTTGCCATTATTGCCCATTATTGCTGCCAGTCTCAGCTAGCCTTTTCTGTCCAAATGGCACTTTGGTATGATAATACATCTCTCATCTCTCTGGTAGCTTAGGAGAGTCCTTGAAGTCATGTGTTCCCCCATCACCTGTGCTACCAGATGAGTCTTATTCATTAATAGGTATGGACAGAAATGCAGGAACAATATGTTGTGACTTCAGAGTTCTCACTGGTACCCTACCATCTGGAGACTGGGGTCTAGCCCTTAGGTATTTGTCAGTTAGATAGGAATGAGGTGTAAGTCGGAGCGCAGGGTGTGTTTAATCACAAATGCCTTCTGCAGGCCATCAAGAACAAGTATGCAAGTAGCAGACTCATGAAGATCAGCACGATTCCTCAGCTGAACTCCAAAGCCATCAAAGACCTTGCCTCACCTCTCATGGGAAGGCCCTAGGCTGTGGCCCTCGGGTTTGGAACTATTGACTTTGTACATAATCTTCTGGTCTACTTTATGAAACCTTTTCTGAGACCTATTTTCTAAATATATGTGGAAGAAAAATAAAGCTATTGATTTTTCTTAAGGTATCCCATGTGTTTTTATTTGTGCATTCTATATGAAGAAATCATTCAGTTTGAGTTTGGTTTGACTAATTTTTTTTTAAGTGATTATGAATAGCTTGTAAGTTATTACCTTTGTGGCTTTAGAAAAGATCTTCCTCCCATTCTCAAATGGAAGAGTTAGAACTTGGCTTCTGTGAACTCTAATCCATTCCCAGACTTCTTGAATGTAAGACTGATTCGTTATGAAATTAAAAATAGGAGGATAACCATTTTTTTTTTCTTGTACTGGACTGCTCCCTAATCTTACATAGGAATACAAGGCCCACTGGCTGCCAGAAGTAACCATTGTAATGATTCTCTCAAAGGTACAGCTGAGAGAAAGGTACAGCAGTTGTGAGGGGCCACTGTTGGAGGAACAAAATGAGCCTGTGACAGCCTGTTAACCTTTAAACTTGGAACTTGTAATGCTGTTTCAGCTACATTAATGAAACCTATTGCCTTGTTGACTCCAACTCATAGCAACCTTATAGGGTTTCTAAGACTGTACATCTTTACAGAAGCATACTGCCTCACTCCTGTGGAGCAGCTGGTGGGTTTGAACCACTGACCTTTCGGTTAGCAGCTAAATGCTCAACCACTGTGCCACCAAGGGCTCTTTCAGCTACATTATGGATCCCTTTTGGTGCCTGTGGAGAAATACCTTATTAGTCTACAACCACCAACTTTTTAAAAACCAAAAATATGAGTCTCTTATAGCAAAAACTTCTCAAACTGTCAGTTCAGCAAAATGTTAATTGGTGTTCTGAGAGAAGAGTTGATCAAATAGGTTTGGAAACACTGCAGACCCTTGGTAGATTTATAGAAGACTCTGAGAAGCTTTGTAGCAAACCCAAGTAAATCCATCATTTCTCCTCAAGTTCAACAAAAAGTCCTTCCTACTTTGCTTGACAGGAGCTCTGGTAGCATAGTGGCTAAGACACTTGCCTGCTAACCAGACGGCTGGCGGTTCAAACCCACCAGCCACTCCTCGGAAGGAAGGTTGGGCAATCCTACTTCCGTAGTGATACTGCCTCGGAAACCCAAGGAGGGGTCGCTATGAGTCGGGGTCGACTCGACGGCACATAACAACAACAACAACAACAACTTTGCTTGACAGTGAATTCAACAGGTGTCTGGTTCTGTGGTTCAGGAATGTGATTGCATCTGTGGAGGAGGTGATTAAGGTTTGCATCTCATCTCTTTTTTCTAGGCAGACCAGGGATGCCTGACTAGTATGTCTTTAATTGCAAGTTTTGAGCAGTTAGAGGAACCTAAGTATCTTTATATGGTGAAAACCTAGTAATTGCTTATGAAGTTTTATAGATATGATATCCTTTGTTGAGTTAGTGAAACTTGTTCTCATGGCAGCCTTAGACCAACATAGGTTATAAGCATAAATGACATCAAAGTGAAAGGATAAAAAGAGGGAGTTTTTCTGCCTTTGAAAAGCAAAGTTATTTTCCAGGAATGTTTGAGCTCAACTTCTCACCAAGAAAGGATGAGTTTTACAGATATATTCCAAAGACATTTTATAGCTTATTAACTTATTTTGCTTAGTTAAATATTAAGTAGCCTGACTTAGAAAATTCTTCCAGGCACTCAAAACTAAAATCTTACAAATGTGAAATAACCTGCAAAAGTAGAAATCATAATATAAAGCACTGAAATTAGAAGATGATGTAACCACAAGTCAGGAAGAACAAACTCTGAAATTGGATTGCTTGGGTTTGAGTCTATTTACCAGATACATGACCTGTATGCCTCCATTTCCGTATTTTTAAAATGGTAATAGGAGTGTCTACCTCATAGGGTTGTGTATTAAACAAAATTATGTCAAGCACTTAGCAGTTTCTAGCACATAGAAGGTACTCAAACATTAAAGGAAAAAAAAAATTGCCATTGAGTCATTTCCAGCTCACAGTGATTCTGTAGGACTAGTAGAACTGCCATGAAAGGTTTCGAAGGTTGTAGTCTTTATAAAAGAAGACTGCTAAATCTTTCTCCTATGGAGTGGCTGGTGAATTTGAGCCAGCCTTCCAGTTAGCAGCCCAGCACTTCGATCACTACACCATCAGGGCTCCTACTCAAATATTAACCCCATTGTCATCAAATTGATTCCTACTCATAGATACCCTATAATAATATCACCTAATGTTTGTGTCACATACATGTTATCAGGAAGGACCATTCCCTGGAGAACAACATCATACTTGGTGGAGGGTCAGCAATAAAGAGGAAGATCCTAGATGAGGCAGATGGACACAGTGGCTGTAACAATGAGCTCAACCACAGCAATGATTGTGAGGATGGCACAGCACCGAGCAAGCAGTATTTCGTTCTGCTATACATAGGGTCACGGTGAGTCAGAACTGACTAGGTGGGACCTAACAACAAAGTTTTAAAATGTTAGGTGCTATCAGTTCTGACTCATAGGGACCCTGTGTGCAACAGAGCACAATACTGCTTGGTTCTGTGCTATCACAATTGTGATGTTTGATCCCACTGTTGTGGCCACTGCAATAAACCAATGAATCTCCAGATATTTTTAACGGATAAACAAAAAAGACCAAACTCATGCCATCGAGTCGGATCTGACTCATAGTGACCCCTCCTTGGGTTTGAACCACCAGCCTCCCAGTTAGCAGTCAAGTGCCTTAGGCACTACACTACCAGAACTCCCTTTGGATGGATAGTTCCAGAATTTTAGCATCTCTACTCAGGATTTAAGTCTTTTTCACCTCTAAATATGAATTCACTCACCTATTCAAGCAACATGAATGCCTCCTTGTGCCTGACATGGGACTAGGCACAAAGAAGGAGGTGGCAAGGCTTCTTCTGTGATTTTCATGGATTTGCTTCCTTTTTACCTGCTACTTGGGAGGTTTAACTTTGTTCCTGTGCTGTCATGTAAAGCCTGAGGGTTCCCAGTTATATCAAGTTCAAAATGCTGATCATTAAATTAAAATCTTCCAGGAATGACCTAGGAGGTAGTCAGCAGGGAGCTCACGCTAGGCTGTCAAGAGGTTTAAGTTAACAAAGGAAGGTGATCTTGGCATTCCTGCTTCTAGGAAGCAGCCTGGATGCTGAAGGTGTGGGGTCCAGGCAGGAGGAGGTGGCTCCTCAGTTTGTATTCTTGTGGTTTCTTCCACTTTCAGTAAGTCTATGAAGGTGGAAAGTAATTTATCAAACATAAGGAGACTATTAGTTTCTTCATTTCATCACATTATGGCTTTATTTTTCTCCATCTCTCACCCGGTCACAAGATGGAATTGAAATAGATGTTAAACACTATTTGTTATAGTTACTGAAATTAAGTATGTTCTTTGTCCTTGAAGTATAAAACACAAGAGAATTAAATGATTTATCTTAGTTCCAAATTAAGAGATATATTTTTTCCTATATGTAATCCAATGCTTTTTTTTTTCCCAGGGACTTTGGGATACTCAGGTGGATGCTGGTCAAACCCTAATTTCCCAATAGCCTATGGCAGCTGGGAGGAGAGGTAGACAAATTTCAGTGTACAACAACCATTTCCTTGTTGATGGACATTACACTGTTTTTCACTTTTCCCTATTACTGCAATACATCATGGAAGAACAAAGCAGTTCACTGATTCCTTTATTTATTGAGAGGGTAGGGACCCAGAGGGGAGAGATGAAAATTACCTACAGGGAGAGAGAAAAGGCTTTGCAGGGGCTGAGCTACAAAGCAGTAACACTGATTCTATAGTTGAACAGGAGGAGTGTGCATTTGTAAGTACCTGGTGCGAGTCTTGTAATAAAACCTACCTTATGAATAAGTACAGTGGAATACTACTTAGTACATTCATACATGTTTCTACCATCTTGAGATTTTTATATATACAGTATTACAGTATATGATCTGTTTTTATAAATGTACAGCTTGAAAAAAAAAAAAAAAAGATCCTCTTGGAATAGGTACAGCAATTAAACAAAAAAACCAACATGGCCAGCCACATTCCTATCAAAGATCCAGAGAAAACAAGGCTGACAGCCCAGCCCCCAGCCTGGCAGCCCATGATGATCCCAGCAAAGTGTAAACCAATGCCCTCTGCACCTGTGGGCTCAGTAATCTGCTCCTGCCTTTGGTACTTCACGGGAGTGCGCGCTCACTGAGCCCAGCCTGCAGAGCAGGGGTACTCCCTGAAGGCAGGTGGCAGAGAGGAATGTGTGTGTCAGGTAATGAAAAGACAAAAGAAATATGCTCTTCAACTAAAGGCACTTGTCAGCGGCCACCTACAGCCATTCCCTGGGCCTGCTGATTTGCTAGAAGCCAACAAAGTCTGAGTAGACCTCATTCATCCTCTCACCACGTTTAAATACAATAAATAAATCTTGGTGGGTAGTTTTTGCCCTTCTGGGTTCCTATGAACAGTCAATCTTTTAGGATCATTTATGGAGTGACAATCCTTGGCCTCAACCCAGCCTTGGTGTCCTCTAAGGGGAAGGTGTGGAATCACTCTAGGCCTTGGAGAAGCAATTGCTGTGGATCAGAAAGGGAGTCCCAAAATGTCCCCTCCCTTGTCTGTGCCTGGAGCTCCTTTGCCTGATGCAGAGTCTTTGTGCGCCTCAGATCTTGGTCACGTAGTTGTTGGGGAAGAGGCCCTGCTTGCCTCGTAACCGACCTGTCCACCAGCCAGAAGGATCTGCAGAGAGAGAGAGAGATGGTGAGCGTGGAGGAGAATGAAGGCTTCTCTGCTCCAGCCAATCACATCCTGCTCCCAAGGGTTTATTACACAGGCAAAAGTGATTTGGCACCATCCTCAATTCTTTTTCCTTTTTTAATAATTTTGTTTTATTTTAAATGAAAATGTTTGTTGTAAAAATGACATCCCCACGGCATCTCAGA